ATGGTTTTAGAGTAATTGGATGTAGCTATCGGGCAGAGTTCTTCCAGTGTCCCTATTTGATATGATGTTGATCTTATTTGTTTTTGCTATTAATACTGCTTCCATCAACTTCCTTTGGTGCCACCTTGTCTCGTTTCCTAAGACGGAGGTGTCCTTCCAGTTGATGTTGTGACCAAGGCGATTGGCATGCTCCGACAGTGCAGACGTATCTGTCTGGCCGAGTCTAACACACCTTTCATGTTCTGAAACTCTAGTCTTCAGAGATCTCTTGGTCTCACCAATGTAGACGGTAGAGCAGTCAGCGCACGGTATTTGACAAATAACACCGGTTTTGTCGTAGTCGTCCAGTCTGTCCTTAGGCTTTGAAATCATGCTTTTGATGGTGTTTATTGGTTTCACCGCTACCATAACGTCGTGGTCTTGAAGAATTCTTTCGACCTGTTCTGTGATGTTCTTAACGTATGGTAAGACGTCAATACCAACCGACAAAGCTATTAACTTTAGTTATAAAACAAGCAAGAGCAAGTCGAGTCAAACTGTAGCAACGCAAAATTCACTAAAGACGAACCAGATGCAAGAGTTGGCTTATTCACCTGGACCTAAGTGTAAAAAGACAAAAACTTCCAGGAAGAGCTGACGGGGTCTGTTCTGCTAAATAACTGTCCTTGTATAGTTTGTTCCTGGGAAAGGTTTTCAAGGTCCAAAAAAGGCTTATGTAACGCTTTCATGGTCAAAAACGACTTTGATGTTACTTGCTATACTAGAAAACGATTAACCTTAGTTATAAAACAAGGACAAGCGAGTCGAGTCAACTGTAGAAACGCAAAAACTAAAGACGAACCCAGATGCAAGAGGTGGCTTACTTCTCTGGACCTAAGTGTAAATAGGAGCTGACGGGGTCTGTTCTGCTAAATGACTGTCCTTAGGCTTGTATGAATTTGTTCCTGGGAAAGGTTTTCAAGGTCCAAAAAAGATTTATGCCTAAAGTTTTTATGGTCAAAAACGACTTTGACGTTACTTGTGCTTGTTATGTCTAATAAATCATAGCCTGTGTACTGAGGGGTGAGAAACGGATATACACAGGCTATATCGAATAAGGCGATTTTGAGTGACTTTGGGTCCCTGAGTATTCGCCACAACTTTATGCGATCGGTTTCAAAATTAAATTTCGATGTAACCAACTCTCTTTCGTTGATTAACTCGGACGTTGTCCCCTCCCTCTTTCAAGTAATAGATTTAGACTATGCCCCATTCTTGACTATACAGGACGAGGAGCAGTAGAAACTTCGGTAAGCCGTTGCCACTGACTTCAGTGAAGCTTTTACGTTATGGGCGTACATAAAAAAATGTATTTACAAATCGAWCATTATAATCATTCGTGTTTGGTTTTCTACTGCATTATCAATACACAAGTTCTTCTATAATATTGTACAGAATCACCTTCAGTCATTCAACATTTATGATTACTTCAAAGGAAAATCAATTCTCCTTACCCATAATGACGTCACGGAATTTCCGGTTAGGTGCACTATGGGATTGATATATGTATCAAAATGGCGGATGTAAACAAGTTTCGTGACTTTTAAACTGAGCAAAATACCGGCGAATTGCTGCGTCCCTGGTTGTTATGCAAACAGTAAGCATTACGTATTGATAAGTTTTTATAATTTTCCGTCCAATAAAAAAAGTTTAAGCTTTGGGACCGTCTTACAAGAAATAATTTTTTGCCTAAAAGACCTATGGTTTGCTCGCTGCATTTTGTCGGTGAAGCAAAAACTTACGATGTCGATAAACCAACCATTTTTCCATGGACCGATGAATGGTACACTGTAGTCGCTGAGTATAATGCTAGAGTCACAGAATGCGTTTAGCCTGCACTGATGACGGTCAGCGGTTTTAGGAGTCGGCGAAAATAAAGTGTCGACACTGGTATGCTACTCTGCTCGCACATCGTACATGAATACAATGTAAATAGGTTTTTTTACCTATGAATTTTGTATCTCTTAAAACAGATTTTTTCACCTGATGTTTGTGGCTATTCAACTTGTCTGAAATAATCACTGAAAATTAGATGCAACCTCTCCTTTCACGACGTAAACGGCAATTCTTCATTTAATATGACATTTATTATATAAAAACATACTGTACACGGGATGTCCTGTATCATGCATATACAGTTCTGATAATAAAAGGTGAATACAAATAATCTAATACATATCTATTTATAATCAATAAAAATAACCCTCTTGTTGCAATTTCATTGAAAAGAAAGGTCATCTAAAAGAAACAGTCTCCCTATGGGATTAGATAATTTGTTAAACTACTACCTACAAGAAATTGCATCTACAAACATAGGAAGTTTTTGTGGAGTATTTTCTTTGACAATGTTTCTTGTTTTTTAAGCTAATCTTTTTCACATCAGAGAGATTACCAAGATAGCCGTTAGATTTCCCTTCTCTTTCACCCCATATGGGCTACATGTGAATATCGGTTACATAAATACACATCATAAATTCGCATTGCGTGTTTTGATGAGGAATTTTGTCTTTTGAAATTGATACTCAAATGCATTCCCATCAAATACGGCAGTCATGACGGTTTTCAATGTAATAAACTCTCTTTACATACAAAAGTTCTTATTCTTTCGACGTTGACTCGAATATTATGTATTTACAATATTTCATTTTTTTCTGTCTTTCATGAGTTGTCTTTCTTTAACTTTAACATTTTATGACCTTTGCTGTACTCCGTTATTGAGATACCATGACATCCCATACTAGAATTGGACGCTGTGCTCCATTGCTCTCCACTTTTCCCTCCATAAATTGTTACATTGGAAGTGTTATGTAATCCATTGGCAAGTGTTGGTGTTGAATGGATCCCTCGCTTTTTGAAATTATCTTTGACATCCTATAATTTAATAAGATGAAAGTTACAACCTTATAACTGTCTAATATTTATAGATGGTCGGCAAAGATGCGATGCGTATCTTTTTTAAAAGGATGATGATAAATTCTAAAGGTAAAAAGAAAAAACACAAGATACTAACAATGAACCCAAGCAAAATCAAAACAAAACACAGCACAAAAACTATAACTGGAAGAAACTTAACGCAGGATATTTATAAATATATGGGGACAAAAGACTGACTATAGGTCTAGCAGTTTACGCATATGAATAACATGGATATTATTGGTTAAGAAATAGGGACTGCGGAATTGAAATAATGAATTGCAACTTTAAGTAGCAGAAATGCACATGTTTCTCTTACCTGGAACAATTCGTGTACGGACTTAGTGACGTTTTGCTTGCCGTATTTGATAAGAGTCTGTGTAAATTCATTACGCCAAGAATATTCGTTGGACTGTGAGGACGTTAGTACAGTAATGTGACTGTACGACTTCCGATGACGATGTCTTTTAAGCTCGTGAAGTCTCTGCGACAAATGCCCGGAGTAGCTGTAATCGGCGATGATGAAAACACGCTTAGCATTGCAGTGACGRAGATTTTTAAAGATCTCGTAAATGGAGTACATTTCCTTGTTCTCAGTAAGGCCATCGGCATTTATGTCCCACATTAAAAGAGCCCCGTTGCTCCTCGCTGGTCCAGTTAGATACAAAACCAGCGTGTCGACGCACCAAAGTGCTCGGCATAGTTTCGAGACGTAATCGGAAATACCGACGTCAGTTATCGCAGGCAATGCATCTCGGGTAGAACGATCACCATCAACTGAAATAATGATAAAAAACGCACGTTAAAGTACTGTACCATATCATTTTCCATAATGGAAACGTTCTTCAATGTATGATTTYGTAAATTTGAGTAAGATATTTAATAAATATCATATTATATTTATGTTTTTTATGTCCAGAGAACCTAAATTCAATATGATTTTCACCTTTTTAGTTTCAGTCCAGCTCTATTTCAATAATCTACTTATTTCAAGTAAAGGAGCTTAATTTATATTTCGTGCGATTTAGTGTAATACCCTATTTGTACTGAACCCACTTCAAGTCGGCTCATTGCGCGCACCCTTTGATGATCCAACGAGGAGTTTACGAGTCTGATACCATGTTGGATATTATGATAATGTGATGACATGGTGWGAAGCCATGGGAATGCCTTTTAAACTACCGATAGTTAACGCCCGACTCTTGACCTTACATCATGCTTCGAGCTTGATGACCGAAAAAAAACAAGCATTATGCACAGTTGTACAGTGTACATTAGTAAATAACAGAGAACTTCGGAGACTACTTGAAAGACAAAGCTGCTTGATGTAGATGGRTTTCATTATAACTGATTGGCTAATTATATCACTTTTCCACTTTAATAACTCTAAAATACAAGGATATAAGTCGTCTAGCTTTATAAAATTGAAAAATTGTGTCACAGGGCTGTATTTGGAGAATCACTTGGTAATAATAGTCTACTTAGAACAAATCATAAATCTAGTAGTAACGCACTTGTTAGACTTTCACAGAGTCACAGAGAGATTTTTTAAAATTTTTACTCGATTCTCGAAATTTCCTTTATTTCTTTGTTCTTTGTGAGTCCAAAGAGAGTTCGACTTGTGGTATGTCCACACACTTTGGGGAAAAAAAAGAAAAACGAAACGAAAACTAGACGAAAACAGCACGCCGTGCAATTTGTAAACGCACCCTAACTAAATGCGATAACTTTTCTCAGAAGAAGAAATCCATAATAGTAAATCACTATCCCCCTACGTGAAACCCGTCGTTGCTTTCGTTTCCTTAATTCTCCACATGGCCGGTTCACGATTCTCTGATGCCTCAGGGCGTTGGTAAATCGAATTTAAATTAATGTAACACGTCCCAAAATAAAACAAATTAGAATAGATAGAATAACATAGCCGGCATGACTCAATCAAAACAAAATTAAAGTAAAATCAGGTGTTGTCCGTTGGCACGCGTACATGTCAAGGTACACACGTCTCAGGTTGGTAAAGCGTTCCGCCGTAAAACGCACAGCGTATTTACAAATGAATTATGGAAAAAACATTTGTTCATCATTACTATAAATGCCAACTCTCATTAACTTGAGTAGAGACGTGATGCGCAAAAATACGCAGCGTTTTAGCTTAAAAGCTCCGCAGAGATTAAAATTGACCACTGCATTATTAAGTAACAGATCACCTAGAAAACGTACAACACACGCTAGCAAGTTAAGTTCCTCCTTAAAACCGCTTTTTTCAAATGTTCTATTTTCTAGTTTTTCTCACATTCATATACTGAAAACGACACTTTTTCATGATCGGACGAACTTTCTTTTACGATTTTCACGCTGTGCAAATTGAGAAAGGCCGATTTGAAATGTTTCTGTGGAAATTAAATCAGGCAATATAGTACTTTTCTGAATGATCCACTTGATTTGTAATTACGATCTTATAGGTAGATAAGACCTACAATTGAAGCGTATGTGCAAACAAACGACATATTAAAAAATAAAGTCATACATTCCTAGATCCATGCAACAATAGCGTTCGTGAGAAAATTTAGTTGGCAACCACTTGCTAAACTATGACTAAGCTGTGGCTACAAATTAATCAGTAAAGCACCGAGCCATTACATGAGGTAATACGTGAAACCACTAGAGTCATTTTTGCAATGTTTAGAAGTTCGAATTCGGTGCACTAGACCTTGCATACAATATTCTCCGATTTGCTGTTTAATAGACTATAGACTGGCTAGAGACGTTTGTTTAGAGTAAATATTAAAGCAAATCAAATATATAATCTACATCTTTCAACTAAGCTTTGAATATCAAAATGCTACTATGAAAATAGGCGTACAATCATTACGAATGGCGGGTTCCTGCAGAGTTAAATACTCTTGCAATAGGGCAGCCTTCAATAAAGGGTTTGATAGCATAAGATACACTCCCTACAGTGCTTAAGAGCCTGTTCAGGTGGTAAAGACCTGTGAGATCATTTTTGGTGCCAACAAAATTGATTTTGGATCATCATTTTGAGACCAAATAGCTTACAAAGTGCAAAACGTCCCGCGGTCATCATGCTGAGTTTCGCCTTTTACGCTTTCCTTCGGAATGACTTTGATGCGATAAGTTAGTCGTTCCGACTTCATTAAACGCTCAGCAACAGCTAGAGTTTAGGGAAATCTGTGTTATATTGAAATACCATATGCGACAATAGGCATTGTTTTCACTTTACCTTTCAGTTTAAGCAGAAACTTGCGTCAAAAACGGGACTTTTTTGACAAAAACGACTCTTGCTCGTTCAAACGTSCGACTTGTTTTGTTTTGTTTCTGTATTGTTATGAATTACAGTAAAAAAATTCGCAACCTTAACGATCAAACCATATTTACTAATCGGTAGTTAATCATAATGATCCCGCGTTTTCAAAMACTATTCAACAAGTTTTGCTAAATAAGTGTATATGTCGGTACAAAAAGGAAAGTTTTTAAGAGTTGCAAAAAACGAATTACAGAAATCTCATTGATAAATAGATATGTGACCTGAGGTAGTTAGCATATTTTTGATGCGTTCACCGCGCCAATGAAAAACATCATCACTTTTAGTTTTTTACAACTTTTTTGACGCTTTTCGGGCAAAAGCCGCGTTAAAAGATGAGTAACTTAATTATCTTTTGGTAATTTTTATTCCCAGCGCTGTAACATCAAAGATTCTAAGCTCCTCTGTGTAAACCGAAGTAGAAAATAGAGCAATTAAAAATATTGAAAAGCTAGATTGGTGTTAACAAAAACCACGGCGATTCGTATTCTTCAAGTGCCTTTGATGTGATTTGCCGACTTGGATTTGCATCACATGCATTTAGCACTCGAAGACAAAAGCGTAAACATTTTAATTCTAGCAATTAAAGTCATACTTACGTTCAATATTGCCATCACTGCCGTAGAAAGTCGCAATGTTCTTTTTGTCGAATTTATTATCAATGAGAAACTTCCAGAAGTTTTTCACGTTGTACGCGTGGCGCGGGTGATCCGTCAATGGAGCCCAACCTCCCGAAACAAGCACAGCGTAGTCACAACTCTGGTAGAAGCAGGTTTTTCTTGGAGGCTTAGGATTATTTAGACAACGGGGAGARTTTGCACATCGCTGATGCGAGGATCTTGACGATGAGATAGGTCTGCATTTGCCAAAACCAAATAGTCTGTCCTGACAGGAGAGTTTTTGACTTCTTGTTGTGTCACCATCAGCAAATACTAGCGGCAGAAAGTCAATGTAACATTTTTTGCGCTTTTTGATGCTTACTGCGTTTTTGCAGTGCGACTTTGTTGCTGCGATAATACAATCCCCAGCTCCTGCAAAAGAAAGAGACCATATCTTGTATTGTAGAAGCGTCGAGATAAAACTTTGACATGCTTGCATATAAAATCCGATTATTTGATTTATAATTTTGATAATCTTTGACTGCTTACGTCAATAAGTATTTTCTTAGATTACAACCTTTAGAATACAAGCAGACACAATTCTTATAACCTCTGCCATTCATATAAACACTTCTTAAAACTTTTCACGTATTAGCGTTCATAAGTCGTCTTTTCGTCCGTTTGATAGATTGTGCAAACTAATACGAAATAATTATTAAATACTTATACATCAGAGTAAAGAGTTAATAGGTAATGACAAATATACTAACCAGTGAAAGTAGCGGTCAGATTCCGTGTGCAGTTGAGATGACTGCGATTTTCTTCGACAAAGAATATATAAACAAGATGTCCAAAGTTCGCCTCGGGATAAGGATCRATCACAATCACTCCATCAATGTTACGATCGTTGGGCAATAGGCTGCGATGTTTGCGATCTGGAAGCCTTGCTCTTAGCCTTTCGTTTAGATGACTCTTGGAAGCAATGTAAACGTTCATGTCCTGGAGTGGGATRCGAGGTATTCGGTTGCAGTTATGGCTGGTCTGGGAGTTGACGCAAGGGTGAGAACGCATCAAGCCAATGGCTGCTTGTACACGAATTCTCCATATTCTTGTTGAATAACTGTTGTGAGGTCGCACTACCAGGCTTCCAGTTCGTTCAGCAAACTCCGATAAAATGACAACGATCAAAAACACGAATTTCATAGTTTCGAGTCTAAACAACAAAGGCTCTTCAATCAGGGCACGATATGTTTCTCTGAAAATGTCAACTACACTGCGATGCCCTTCACAAGCAATATCTTCGCACTTCTTCGGCTAGTGAATATTTTAGAATGCTCGAGTCRCCTACTTCCTTTTTATAAATTTCTTGAAACGGAGTACGTGATTGGCTCGCGGCATCTTTTAAAATGACTCTAATTGAGTTAGCAATAACCAGGCAACTGGGGAGGAAAAAGATCTCAACTCGCTAACCGTTACCCATGATTCGCCGGATGCCCTCGTGACCTGTAGGCATTATCTTAAGCTATTTTCTTCCWCTCYATTCTGCGCAGATTGCGGTTACGATTTCAAACGCTTTTAGTGTAAAACACTGCCCCGGAAATTCGACGAGAAATTTTCATTGACGTAGATCTCTCGCCTTCGGGGAATAATTTTCTATTGTACAGAGAAAAAGAATCCTCACGTCGACTTAATAATCTAATAATAYCAGCTGTGTGAGAAAAGATGGAAAAGGTTTTTATTGTATTATTTTTATTAAACGCGCAAACAGGATAGATTTCCAGGCATTATAGACAAAATTTTGTTGTAATGCGCAGATTGAGTCAAAGTACCGCACTACACCACTGTTTTAATTACACGAAAAGATACTCCTAAGACGCTAATAACATTACATTCTAAAGACGCCGAGAGGGTAAAYAGGGCCCTGTGTTATCCAATCTCACGGGTAGATTATCGGGAAGAGCCTCGCCTATGCTCCATATATTTGGAGTTATAATTCATAAGCTATCAAGTCCGAAGGGTCAGTAATTTAAACAAGCAAGTTGTTGCATCGTTTACGCAGTAAAATCTATGGCTTTCCTTCTTTAAAGCMCTCGAAAAATTAGTGCAGGCCGCCACTTAGTATAATCTGTGTTTAGCACTACCGATGCCGTCTAACAAAATACTTAAGGTCAATTGAAGACAGTGCCTTTGAAAGAACTTTGATAACACACGGAAAATGACTATGGTTATTGCATCGTCTATGAATTCTATGAATTCCATAGTTTTGCTGTCAAGTTTTTTTGGAATTCAAAGACTAGCCTTCTGTCGGCACAGAAACTTTGTCGCGCTTTGATCAAACGAATGCTGTTTACTCCAAGCAATTCGGTATGTTGTGATGCGAATTTATTAAATTGAAAAGCCTTTAATTGTGAAAAATTACCTAATTTGTAGAACAAAACCTGGCGAGAAAGGGGGCGGTAGCTATTGTTCTCTTCTCAGATAAAGGTCGCCGCAGAAATAGTTTACCGCTGGGATTAAATGGAGCGGTACTCAAGCACGATACTGAACTCAGCTGAACATCAGATTGTTTTTCGCTTAATAAAATAGTCGGTTTTGCACCGCTATGATAGCTCGAAAGAATAACGATTCGCCGGCAAACTATTTTACATGCTAATGTGTGTGTAGAGAGGACCCTGACGTCGGTCACCGTGTCGCGGTCAGTTAGCACCGGCACTTCATAAAATGAGCTAATAATTACCGCATTTGCTTTCTTTGAACTTAAAACCACATGGAAATTCAGAACGAGAACGAAATTTAACAAGCCTTTAAAGTGTTTTTTTTTTTCAAGTGATTTCAGAGTACAAAATCCATCGAAACTTGCAAACTAAAAGTATATTTCGTGTTATAAAAACACTAGAAAGTAATTGTAGTTGCCTCATTGCCTTTTTTTGCGAAAAAAGGTATTATCATAAAATTTTCCGCAGAAGATATAAAAACGTTCTAATTTAATATTAAACTGCTACTGAATCCTAAAATATGTCTTTGGTTTCCGATGGTAAGCCGAGGTGGTCATAGAAGGCAGGGAACCTACTTTTACCAACTCATTTTAGAAACAAGCTCATAAAATCCCGGAAATCCGTCATGGTGGATTTTTTCTCTGTCCTGGAAAGAAGGAATGTTTAGAATTGTCTAATTCCCACGAACAATTCTGAGGATGATGAAAAACATAACATTGAWCATTGCCATGTCCGAATTTTTTAGTTTTTACATCCACTTGCTTTTCTATATTCATTTTAACTTTCTTTTCGAGTCATCTTAAAAACTATTGTGCTCTTTTCAAAGACGAAGTGTTTAAAAAATCTAATTTGCTCGAGGCATAATTCAAGGAAAAGAAATTTGATTAGCTTTAGTTTGACCAGCTTGAAGGATTGTTCCAAGTATAAAAATCCATAAAAAAAACGCAACAAAAAAACAAATATCGGTAATTTCATTTCCGGTTGGAGATATCATGGGTTGTACAGGTGTTCATTGAGATCCCCTGGCCTCTTGAAAAAACAAAACTTTTTCGTATTTACAGTATATTGTTAGTATGCTCAATATGCCGACGGGCTCAAAGGTATTGTGAAAAAGTCTACTTGTCAAAACGAGTCCTTTTCAGATGCCATTTTCCTTTTTGTGGAAACCGTTGTTCATTTTTCATCGCACATGGGCTGGCGTTTCCTTGGGGGTTTGTACAAACCATAAAATCATTTTGAGCTGAAGTGCTGGTCACCGCTAGGAAATTCGACCAGTTCCGAGCAATATAATCTCAAGGCGAAGTATYTTTATAAAGTGATTTTCGTTTCAAGACAATTTTAAAAGAATCACTCGCCATCGAGCGCAAATTTCAATTTAAAAAATCAAAAATACACAGTGAAAACAACAAAGGTAAAATACCGCTTTCTCGATATAGGCAAAACTTTTCTTGCTGAAACAAAACGAATTGATATTGATGGTGCTTTCTTTTGGCCTTCTATCAACCATTTCAAGAATTTCAATAAAAGTCAAGTGGATAGCTATTATTACACGATGCGGTTCAAATATTTTGTGGATGTTGGAGGTATTTTGAGCCCACTGTTTTTAATACAAACCCAAAACAAGCCACCGGAGGCCAAAGATAACTTCAATGAAGGATAAAATTCCACTAGAAACTATTTATAAACTCATTTTCAACGCTTGAGATAGGACAAATAGGAGGATATGAACAAAGTCACATGAAATCTTAMATAAAATTGTCTGTTTAAAGTAGAGTTGTGCAAAAATGCACGACCAAAACAGAAAATAAGGGGGRAAGGAAACACGCATGTGGCCTATTAGAGAAGATTACATGTGATTTTCGACCATGAAAACGCAAAGACGTCTAGGCGTCCTAGTTATTCARTGATTGAGATTCACCAGAGAGTGCGTCGGCGGCAAGTTCGCGTGGATATCGAAATCACCCTTATTAAGTGATTAAATATTAGTAGAATGACGCTATTAAATTGAGTTCAAATGCTCAGAGTTGGTATAATACTGCTAAGAGCAGAGTCATGTTTAGATTTATCTGGTATTAGGTTATACAAGGACAACATTTTAAACGTAATCTGTGGCATAKATAAGAGCTATTTCTATGCAGTTCAAGATCCCAAGCCGACGACAAGTCAGTAAGGATTTATTTTAAATCAAAAGTAAACGAAAATCAATTAAAAGCGCAAAGAAAAGGGAGACGTTTGAAAATGCCGTATACTTGACATCAAAGACTTCGTTGACAGTTTTAAAAAGGAGGTTCATTAACCTTTTTTTCACTCTTGATCAATGCTAGTTTACACTTATTTACTTTCAGCACTGAGCTTTTGAAACTTTTAGTCGTACAGCTTTGAGCAATTAACTTTGTGAAATTGTGTACCATAATAAAATCAACTACAAACAATCCTTTCAGTGTTTTAGTTACGAATCCAATTATAATTCATTTTGTTTTATTGTTTTATCTGATAACTGATTTGTCTGGGAATAAACTTAGACTAAAACCACAAAACATGGATTATCCTATTATCCAATGGCCGGAGGTTGCACAGGCAGCCCAACCTGTCTCCGGAAGATAGCACAACAACTCTGAGTAAACTGTTTACAAATCGGGAAAACCTGAGAACCGGTTTGTGCACCTTTCATATTTTCGTTTAATGTAAATAATGTGCGTTCTTTGTCTGTCAGCAAATGTAAATAGTTCGGCTAAACCAAGTGCAAGCAGACGAAGGACGTGGTATTTCAAGGTTTACATATAGCAAGTCGGCCCTTTTTGTTGTATTAGTCCTCCATATTCTAGCTTAAATCCTTCCTTCCGCTCCTGTTATTGACCCCTATCCTCTTCACCTCTGTCCCACGATAAAAGCTTTGCTATTCAAACAAGTTCTTCTCATAATAGTTATAAATAGATATGTACAGCAATCACTAGACACCAATTCTGGACTCGTTGGCGCAGTCCTGCTTATGGACGAGGAAACAGGAATGAAGGGCTTATAAGCCACACCCATCATTTAAACGACATAYACTTGAATTCTACTTAGCAAAACGGTTATTTCACAGGTTGATATAAGGATCACTTTGGGTGGCCGAGCTTTCCGCTAGTCTGACGGAATACCCAACCTAACACCACTACGAAATCATATACGTGTGGGACGAAAAAAATGGACAATTCTTCGTTTGCAATATACGTCACAGCCGCCATCTTGGTTGAACTTCAACAAAGGATTTCTAATTAGTATCTATTGTTCATTCAACCAACATGGCCGGCGGTCTTTTATCTATTGAATCTCATGAGGATGATTGAAAACGAGCAATAGATGGAGAAACTCACAAAAAATAAATAAATAAAAAGAAAGAGGAAAAAAAATCGAAAAAAGAAGGAGAAAATATAAAAAGACCAGAAACGAAAAATAAATAAAAAAAATATAATTCTAATTTTTCATCCCGTTTGTCTGTTTTCGAGCAGAACTAAGTTGGGACACTCAAGAAAGCTGCCTTCTAAATCGTCTATAATAATCTTTTATTATTCACAGTAGAATCAATCTGTAGAGCCACTATGTATACAGTTGATATRGGAGTTGTGACGGGCGTTGCGTGACTGARCTTGACTGGTAAATCCTAAGCTCTATAGTTAGGACTCAGGTCAGCAAAGTAAAGATGCTTCATGGCATCTTCCGCTGAAATTCTGTGTGCTGGATTGAGAACCAAAAGTTTCTGTGAAATGTAAAAGATTTCAATAAGAACAACAGAAAAAGGAAATTAAGGAGAAATAAAAGACACATCATATACAATTATTTGTAGAAGGWTGTTAGAAAATAGTGAATATCGACAGTCGAATGGAGATAGGACAGCCGGAAAGGACTGTGGGTAATGAATATAGATGGCATAATGCAGTACCCATCCTAAACAGGACTGACTTTTAGCCGAATTTGTTATAGAATAATATCTACTCAAGTAAAGTACAACAAACTCTAAGATTACAAATCAAATMATACACCCACTAGAGAGGAGGCACTGAGCCATGTGGTAAAAGATCAGAAGTCGTATWGGAGCATGCGCAATAAGTAATTTGGTATTTGCGTATGTTCTACTTTCAGTTTGCTATCTTTACTGTGCTCTCTAGTCCGCCCGTTCCATTGCCACTTGAAGCCCATCACGCAATATTTTTCAAATATAACTGTGTACATATATTATTATGAAAACTATATTTTCTTTGGCAAGATGATAAACCTACAACGCCAATAATAGGGTCATCACGTGGCGWTTGGAACAAATCTCATAATCGGTTTTAAGAATGGACAAACTCTGCTCTACAAAACAATAAAACGAAACCCAACCCATCAACAGAGCTTTCGTTCTAGCGTAGCAATCAAAAACGAGCTTAAAAGGGTCCGTTACTTATCAAATAATGATGAAATTTTAACTCAAGCGAAGCTATAAGTTTCAAAAACATAAATAATCATTTCATAAGAAAGGTTTAGACAGCAAAGTTACTGAGGATGGACCCTATATTGACCCAAGGCAGTTTGATAAAGGAAAATATGAATACCGGCAGACTGCTTATGTTTTGTCAATTTTACTGGAGGTTTATTGACTTCATTCTAAGCTAATGTATGGCAATCACCAGTTGGTAATAATAATACCACTGAAAGTGTTCATGTAGAGCACGTCGTACACACTGCTTAGAGCAATATGAAAGAAACGTGAAATACATAAAGATGGCTTCAGCATTGTACAGGGACGTGCCAGCTTTTACGAGAAACACATGCAGAATCGTTCTGCTATAAATACGTGAAACAATTATTGAAGATTAGACACGCCTTGYAACTAGTGCATGCACAKGTAATCRTCGTACRAAAATAMGACTAATRCTGCAAACAGCAGGTGATAGAAAAATAAACACGTCTACGAGATGAATATGCCTGCTGTAATCAAGGGAAAAAAGTGCGACAAGTACACGCAGTGATCAAGGGGAAAAACAGTCGCGTGCAGCAATAAGACTACTACTCCACACAGTAGGTGATGGAAAATACACACGTCTATCCCACGTATTACACGCAGCAATCAACTCAAAAAGACATTTTTATCAGACTCGACCCAAAGCTGCCTTGTTGTTCGGAATGAAGTAACTTTCAACCGGAGTGAAAAGAGATGGCATATAGCATACTTCTGTGCACACATTCACTATACACGTGCAAAAGTACTACATCTGAATGGAATGCACGCGTGGTAAAATGGGGTAATGCACACGTTAAAGCGAACACTACGAGCCTACACGCAACACTAATGACAAAAACGTGCAGCAATTAATACGACTATTACCGCAGAAAGCCATAGTGACAACAAGTGCAATTATTCAATGATTACTACGTAGGTTAGAAAACATCATTACCGCTAAATACGTGAGACAATTTTTACTGACTATAGTAGAACATGCAGCAATAAAATGTCTATAGAAGATGAGCTTTACGCACTCACAGAACCATTCTAAGTAACTTACTAATATACTCTTTACTTTGTGATGAATGTAAAGAAACCCTAAAAATATTGAATGTCATGGGGTGGAAACATGCAGTGCTACAGCTTTCAGTTTCTTTAATGAAATCCTAAAACGTGAGACGTGATAGTCCAATGGTTAAGTCATCGGATTCCGGGCCTGCAGGCGTGTTCGATTCCCAGGCCAGGAAATCATCACGTTGTGTCAGTCCTTGGGCAAGACACTCTCTTACTGYCTCGTCTTCTTAGAAAAGATGTAAAGCCGGAGCTCCCGTCTCTCCACACTTCAAATTACGACGAAAAAGTAAAATGAGCCCACACTACTATTCGACTAATAGCAGGTCACAGAGTCCCCAGTGCTGGTGTGGCAAGGACTCCTCTCGCAAACACTGGTCGGAATGTCGTACTGTTCGTATTAAAGCTACTAGTCAATGAGACCTCATACTAATATACAGCTAGTAACCCAAAGGACGGTACCGAATGCTGAAAATAACAGAGAACAGGGAGAGCAAAACGTTCACGTATTCACGTATTCGTTACACCTTACAGAGCATCGACGTGTCTGAACTTTCCCTACAACAGGGCAGTTTTATCATGATATCACATGAAATRTTGCCTTAGGGTTCGTCTTGTTCATCAATGTGCATGATGCGTTGAAATGTTGAACTCGTACTCATATCGCATTCTTATCCGCCAACACTTGATTCTTATCCTTTTATTGAGGAAATTTTCATATTACGTCGGCCAGACATGTAGATAAATTAGAATACAGATTAGAACTACGATCAACTCTATATCACGGACTATCTCGTGTTCTAAGAACTTATCAATATACTGAAATATGACATCCCTATGAGGGACAGCTAGGACTTCAAGTCTAAAAGCCTGGGTTGCTTCAACTTCATAGATAAGAATCAGGATGCAATAAAGGTTCCCGCAGACATAGACGGGGCAGGACACTGGAAAAAGGAGAAATACTTCTCACTATATGAAAGCAAATTTGTATTTGAAGCTCGACACTTCCATTAGTCAATTGCTACATCAGTGAACGATGCCATAATATAAGTTTCATCATCAAGTGAAAACATTGTGTTCGACAAGTGATCACATGAGGAAAACCATTGTGTTTGTCCAAATTTGCGACAAAGATCCAAGGTAATATGTCAGTGGAACCATTCTGCAGTATACACTGACACAGCCTCGCCGTATTTCACAACGAAGCCTGATGGGATTCGAGTCCTGAAACCTTTTATTGTTCTCCGAAATATCCACTAAATACGAAAGAAAGAAACTGCAAAACTACACTGCATCTTTGCAAAGCGGAAAATACGAAAACAGTTTCTGCGGAGTATTTCAGAGACGTAAGTAAGCGCGAGTTCTACGTTTTCCATCATTCTTTGCTCGAGAAAACGGTATACATTACCTTTTGCATGGTTCAAGATGAAAGGAGATTTGATCTCCTTGATTTCTATTTTTGTGTTTTGAAATTAGCAGATTGACGCTTAATGTTTTTATAGCCCATGCCCATTAACGAATTTCCTTTGTTCCTAACACCAAAGTGTTCTTCTGTTTCACACGGCGAAAAAAATGAAAACAAAGAAATAGAAAAATGTAATACCTGCAATAAATCTCTTCCAGTTGTCGATAAATTAGGTACTACAAGTTCTAGAGAAACMAATGGTCCTTGGGGTGGGAGGTCCTGTAAAAAATATCGATTAATACACGTGCAAGCTTGTGTCCCCTGCATACAATGAAACCCCATTAATCCGGCCACCGAAGGGACATGGAATATTGACGGGTTGGCCGTTTTACATGTAACTGGGTAGAAAAGTATAAAGGACTACATGTAATGTCAGTCACCGCGACATAAAAATTCGCCGTACTAAGGGGGTAAGGCGGGGTTCCACGTGCAGAAAAGAACATKAAACATTAATAAAAACAAAACTTGAAATCTCGAAGACTAGCCTTACTTTATAGGCAGGGAGCTTTGTGACATTTGGCCATGTTTCTAGTGAAGGCGTTCCTAAAATTCTTRTCAAAAGTTAAGGTTGTTTTTTCATATATTCATCAAACCAACCAAACGGACCAAAAAACAAATAAGAAACGAGACAATTGACTAAAAGACTAATATAAAGTGAATCAGTTCTGCAAACAAACACACAACATGCAATATTTCAATCGACCACACAATAAATAGAGGCAGACAAGTTAAAATAGACAACTAAATAGAGCCATACATAAATTGATAATGCCAGACAGTAAACCAGAACCAAATAAACAGATTTATAAAATAAACAAATAAAATAAACAAAAAAAAATATATAAAAAAAACAACAACAAAAACAGAATTAAAAGAAACAGAATCTAAGAGTAGTAACTAAGGATACTTGAAAATTCTTCTAAGTTCATCATCAATGTCATTGCCTGGGAACAAAGGTCGACCTCCATTTGCCATCTCTACAAAGACATAAAAACCACTGTCTGTAATAAAACTGAATTGAACGAATTTGGAAAATAAAGTGCAAAGGTTCTCATTCTCTTGAGAATCAAAATACAGAAAATGGGTGTTTATATCAATGATGTGAAGATTAGATGCAAACAATCAT